GTTCCAGAGCTGTGCGCTTACAGGAGAGCACCCAAGGGCTTCGGGAAAGTCTCCAGCTGCCTCCGGCGCCCTTCAAAGTCTGAGCCCGGGCGGGCGGAGCTGAGGGACCCAGACACCCCGACTGAGCAAGACCCAGGGGGGCCCCAGGCTGGGAGGAGGTGGGAGAAGGGCCGGTCAGCAGTGGCAGAACTGGGTCAAGCCTGAGACCCAGCAGGTCCCGCAGAGAAGAGGCCCCAGACCAGACAGGGGAAGCCGGGGGCTGCTGCGGGGGTGCAGGGGGCGGCAGGCAGGGGGGAGCTGCAGAGGGCCCAGCGGTACCTGATCCAGGGCATCTGGAGGCTCGGCCCAAGCATGCCCTTTGTCATCACTGGGGCTCCCTCTCCAGTACCAGGCCCCGGCTTTAGGAAGGTCCCGACTGAGAGGCGGCTTTAGGAAGGTCCTGACTGAGAGGCGTCCCTGGCCGGTTTGGAGCCGCGCGCCCTTCCTGCTGGGCGCCAGACAGTGAAGCCAGGGCTGCTTCAGGCTCCTCCCCTGGCCCTTCCTCTGGAATTTGCTTCTGAAATGGACCCAACGTACTTGCAAATTGAAAGCAGAAGTGAGGGTGCCTGTGAGGAGGGCGGGGGAGGGTGAGCACTGGCCTGCCTGACGAGCCCCCAGCCCAGCGCCTCCCCCCACCCCCCTGTGCAGTACCTATGCCAGTCTGTGTGGCCTGGTGCTGTCTGCCTGGGGTTTCTCATCCCCCGTCCTATCCCCCGTCCTACGGAAGATGAAGTCAAAGCCACGCCTCTAGCAGAAGCAAACGGGAAGTTCATTTAGAGACTTCCCGGGAGAGCTCAAGGCGGGCAAAGCTTGAGTGGGGTGCCCTGGCTTTTAGGGAGCCCCTGCTCTGCCCTCCCCTGGGATGGGAGCGTGCTGGACTCCTGCCCGGAAATGCCCACCTCATCATCAAGGGCCACTCTGGAGGGGCTGCCCCCCACTCTAGAGGCTTCTTGCCTTCATGGAGCGAAGAAGGTGGTTTTGGGGCACTATCATGCCTGCTTTTAGGGTGCAACAATATTTTTCTTTTTCGCGCGCACTCTCTCTTTTAAAAAAAAAAAATCAGTTATCAGCCCAAAACTCCTGCAAGCCCCTGGTGTCTGGGCTCCGGAGACCTGGATCCGTTCCAGGGGCCTCCTTCTGCTTCTAACTGGTTCCCTCCTCCGGCACTGCAGGGGCAAGGTGCAGACAGGCCCAACTCTCCACCCCGTTAGGCCCTGTGGCCCCTTCCTGAGGCCCTGAGACAAGGTTGCCCCGCTGCTGACGCGGGATGACTGTGCTGGACTGAGGCTGCGGGACTTGCAGGGGCTGAAGGTCCAGGACACAGGCGTGCTGGCCTCAGCAACACACACTGCTGTGTGGGCGCCTCCCGGTCACCCCAGTCTGCCTAGGGTCACCAGGGAGGGCAGTGGCTGCGCAGCGGGCCTGCGCCCTCCTGGGCATTCTCTCCGCCTGAGAGCTGGTGCTCGGGAGACCCTGACCCCTCCGCTCCTGGTCCGAGGCTGAGGCGCCAGGCCCCGGACGGACGGGCGCCTGCCACAGCATCGGCTGCTGGGGAGGGCTAGCTCGTCTCTTGGGGCTGCCAAGTGCCGGCCTGAGCGTTGCTTGTCTTGCTTGTCGTGCGCTGGGCTGCCCGCCTCTCGCCCTCGAGCAGCGAGCCCCTCCTCAGCACTGCGGCCAGCAGTCTCCTCTCGCCTTTTTCCAGGTCTCAGGCAGGAAGTAGAGCCCGGGTCCGGCCCTCAGGAAAGTGCGGCCAGTTTTTTCAGGGACTTCTCCAGGGACAGACCCCTGTGAGCCGCCTGTGAGCCAGCGGCAGTTTCCAGCCCTGAGTCTGGAGCAGCCCTGTGCGGCTGGAGAAGCTGAGTGGGAGCAGGACGGGCCCCTCTGGTCGTCCTCAGCGTCAAGCTGCCCGGGAAACTCGCACTCAGGCCTCCCTGGAGGCTCGAGGGGTTAAGTCTCTGCACTATCGCAGCCACCTCAGAAGGAGTTGGATCCCCTCCATGGAGGGACCCCCAGGGCGCGGCAGACCTCTCCTGTCCACCCGCTGCTCCCCTCAGCAGTGCACTGTGTGGATCTGCCTGTTCTGCTCCCCGCTCTGTGTCTGGTGAACCCCCTTCCCCCAGCACCTCTGGTCTGTACCCCAGTTCTTCTATGTAAAAGTAAATAAAAATCTTTAAACACACACACACACACCCTGTCGAACAGGGTTCTCGCCTATTTGTTTTATTATTGCGTAAACACCCAACAGCAAAAGGTAGCAAGACCATGGTTTCACTCATAGCAGGAGTATAATGGACCGGGCGAGAAAATAACAAAAATAATGAACAACCATATACCAGAGACATTTTGTGGGGGTGGAGGGGGGAATGGGATCAAAAACGGGGTGGGGGGAGAGAGAAGAGAGAAATGCACAGGATTATGGTGATGGCACACGGGTGATTTGGTGATGGGAAACCCGCGGGGATTACAATCGAGATGGGAAAAAAATGTACAAAATGATGTAAAAATAAACTTTTGTGATAAAAAAAAAAAGGTAGCAAGACCGCCGTGCTCGGCACCGGCCCTGCCGCCACCTCCCGCCGCTGGCCGCTGCCGGGCTGTCAGCCAACGCCACAAATGGCGTCTCCCGCGCGGCGGGCTTGGGCTTGCGTCTAGACCGCATCTTCATCCTGGTCTGGTCTGCGGGCACTCAGACGCCGCGCTCTTGTGAATAATGCCGCACTGCGTCGATGCGGCCTGCGCTTCTCTGGGTTCTGGCTTCCTGTTCTTCATGAAGATGCCGGAAGTGGCTTGCCGGGTGATACAACAGTTCCCTGTTGGACTTTAGGAAAGGTCCAGGCTGCTTTCCAAAGTGGCAACACCACTCTCCGTCCTGGCTGCTCCCACACCAGCGCCTGTCTCTCCCTGGGGAGCCAGGTGGTAACAGTATTGTAGTAGAATTTGGGCACATCTATAACTCACTGTTTTGTTTAAGGTTTTCTTTTTAAATATGTGCTCTTTTTAAAAAATTATCTATT